GCCCCTGAGCATGATCTCCCCTGCTGGCCCCCCACAGATATACTCCTTGATGATTTTCTCCAAGATCTTCCCGGTGACTGAGGTGAGGCTTACAGGTCTATAGCTACTTGGGTCCTCCTTCCTCCCTTTCTTAAAAATGGGGACCACATTAGCTAATTTCCAATCATCCAGCACCTGGCCAGATGACCACAAATGCTCATACAGCTGGGCCAAGAGCTCCATGATGACCCCTGCCAGCTCCCTCAACACCCTTGGGTGGAGGGCATCTGGACCTGCAGATTTAAAGATGTCCGGCCCTTCCAGAAGATCCCTAATTACATCTGTGCTGACCCAAGGCCTGACAGAGCTATCCCCGAGATTGTCCCTACCTCTGGCAGGAGGGATGCCCTGTTCAAGAAAACAGAGGCAAAGAAACTTAAAAATATTGGTTTTCTCATCTGGCATAGCCACAAGGTTACCATTTGAGTCTTTCAGGGGCCCCACATTGCCTGGTGCCCTCTTCTTGCTCCCAATGTATTTGAAAAAGGACTTTTTGTTGTTCTTAATCCTGGATGCTAGCCTGAGTTCCATCTCTGCCTTGGCCTTCCAAATATTCCTCCTACACTCATGGGTCGAGGAGGATACTCCTCCTTGGTGATAGCCCCTCCCTTCCTCTTGTGGCCAGGAACAGGTCCAGCAAGGCGTTACCCCTAGTGGGGCTGTGCACCTCCTGGATAAGGTGAAGTTCCTGTAATACAGCCAGGAACCTACACGAGTGGTCAGACCTGGCTGTCTGCTCCTCCCAGCAAATATCTGGGTAGTTTAGGTCACCCATGACCTAACTGCCTCCATAAGCTGACCAGAGAAGTCCCAGTCCAGCTCTTCCCCCTGGTTGAGTGGTCTGTAGTAGACACCCACTGTAAGGTCCCTTTTGCCATGCCCCCCTTGTAGTTTGACCCACAGTGTCTCTGCCTGACCCTCCTCTAACCCGAAGCTAATCCTTGATGATGTGAGTTGCTCTTTGACATAGAGCGCAACCCCCTGCAACTTTCCTCTCTGTCCTGTCCCTTTGGGGCCCTGGCCTTGCCTACAGTTAGTTTCAGGGCTGGGGCAGAAATGGGTTCCCTTAAGTGCCTTGGCCTACTGGCTTTGCAAGGGTTGCTGAGCAGGTCAGCAGTGGCAGTAGCCCCCCCCCCCCATCACCCGGCGGGCTTAGTTTAAAGCCCAGTGGAGCAGGTCAGCCAGGCTGACTGAGAAGAGCCTCCTCCCCAGTGGAGAGAGGTGAAGGCCATCCCTTCCCAGCAGCTCACTGCCTCTCTCACCAAAGCGTGGACTGTGGTCATGGAAGCCAAAGTCTTCCCAATGACACAAGCAGCACAGCCTTGAGATAATGATCTCACCTGCCAAATTCCCATTTTCTAAGGTCCTTCCTTTTTCATATCTTTCTGACAAGGTAGTTAGCAGAATTCACAGATTTGTTGGAATTTCACAGAGCCATGCCACAACACTTTGGCTATGGCTTCAAACTTGCAACCTCTGGGCTGTTAGCCATGTACTTTACTGCTCACCCCACCACAGCTGTCATTTTCTACACATAAAGTTGCAATGTGAGGTTGCTTTGTAATAGGGCACGTCAGGATGCTAATGGTAAACTAACTCCAGAGTATACTTGAAGATTATCAGATTAAATTGGTGAACCTGAAGAGTTTAGCAAGGCAGCATCCTGCTCAGATACCAGTAAAGGTAATTACATTTGGTCCTATCTATATTTCTTTCCCTATAATTTGAGTTGGATAAAGGATTTTAAACTTCCTGTCCAAAATTATTGTGTGGTATTGAAAACCTTTAAAGAAATCCAGTTTGGTCAGCATTGGAACTCATGGGACAGTTAGAAATACAGGCACCTAACAAATGGCCTCCAGGTAAACTTTTAAGAAATATCAGCACCTACATTTTTCCTTCCCTCACCCTTTTACTGTCATGGAAGTCAAGCTGCAAATGCAAAATATCCCAAGTTTTTATAGCTGTTCATTAACAAAAAATATCAACTAATTCAAATATTTTTCACTCTACAAACTTCAAGTTATATTATTAAAGGCCAATTACACATCACTTTAATATAAATTTTTCCTCACAGTGTTCTAATGTGAATCTGCTGCACCTGAGAAACGCATACTAATGCATAAAAATGGACAAATGTGCATAGATGCTCATTTCCATGCATAACTACCCAATTTGAATACACAGCAAAAGCTCATCTGCTTTTGTGCATGCAGTTTAGGTCTCAGAGCTGGCTCTAAATATCTGCTAGTCTGCAGTATGAATTAATGAAGATTATTCAGCAGGACATGGAACAAAATTAGAAAACTGAAATAGAAATTATATGAATCTCTGATAAAGAAATCTACTACTGACTATAGCATAGTGACTAAAATGCGTACCCAGTATCTATATTTTTAAATATCTATATTATGGAAGAGCAGGAGGTCCTGGATAGATATAAAGCTCCATTATACAAATAGGAGCTATGCCAGTGATTCTCAGCCTTTTCAGACTCGAGGCATGCCTTGATAGACTCAAGGCATCCTTTAGAAAATGCCAGCTCTTAGTTCTTGCTTTATTTTTTACTATACAAAGATAATAATTCTTCTGTTGCAAAAAGCTCAGAGCCATAGCAGTTTTTAACACTGTGGATTACTATTTGAAATCTTTGGGTTAATTTTATGAATTATGTTTGCATACCTAACAGTGCTATGACACCCGATGGCATCTATGAAAGGATCTCAAGGCACCCCCAGGTGCCAGAGCACCCTGGTTGAGAATTACTGCTCTATCCCCACAAGAGTTTGCTTTAACCTGGGCCCTCTAGTGAAGCCTTTTTGAAAATGCTTCAAATATATAAAAAAATGTTCTGCATCTATTATAAGGTTCTGGGATACTGTTCCATTTTTTTTCAAAAAAATGTGTCTAGTGTTGTTACTGAAACAGCATTACTAGCCTGTCTGTAAAGTGCTGGGCACTTCACTTAAATGAAATTCCTAAGCCTAGGCATAATCTCTGTGTCTTTTTTTCTACTTGTAAAAATGGAGATAATACAACCAAATCTCTAAACAGAAAGTTTGTGAAATAAATTAATTCATATTTGTGAAGCACTCAGGTACTAAGAGGTATAAAAAAGCCCACAAACAAGTTAGTAACTTTCTCTTTGAGCTAGATTTGAGTAATGTACTATGTACTATCTAGTATGTTCTATGTACTATCTAGTACATACTAGATAGTATGTACATACTAGATAGTATGTACATACAAGTATGTACTAGATAGTATGTACTATGTACTATGTACATACTGTCTAATACATAGTACATACTATCTAGTACATACATAGTACTAGATTTGAGTAATGTTCTATGTACTAATGTACTTTCTCTTTGAGCTAGATTTGAGTAATGTAATATTGTGTAGGCAGGCTTAATTCTGGTATTGCCTGACTTCTGATTGCTTGACTTTGCAACTTCAATGTTCATCTAATGTGGGGTTTTAGGGGTAAGAATACAACAGCAATAAGTAGTAAAATATCATATTGATTTTATCTAATTAGAAAAAGATGAATGAGAGAGATTTTGGTAAAAAAAAATCTGTGATTATGGTTCAATAACTTTTTAATTTTTTTTCCAAATTAACAGCAGCCATCTCATTTCAGCAATTACCTTAGTGTGGGACCTAAGTATGTTCCTTGTAAGAACACAGTACTTGTCACTCTAGATCAGACCAAGTGCTCTTCTATTTCCAGTGACCAATACTGATGCATAAGAAGATGCAAAAAATGTATGAGATATTCTGTCAGTTACATAATGCTGTAATTGGAATGAAAAATAAGCCTTCATTTTCTTACCCTTACACTGCCAATTGTAATTGCAAATATTATTCTTTGTCATAACATATTTTAGACTATTTATAAATCTACCTACAGTATTTGACTTTGTGACCTTTTGTAGCAGTGAATATCACAGGCTGACTACAAAATGTGTGAAGAAATATTTCTTTTCATTATCTTTAAATTTCCTGACATCCACTTCACTAATTTCTTCTCATACTGTAGACTGTGTAAAAAAATGAGGCCAATAAATTTTACTATTTTCAAAACATTCCGTGCATTTATCACATACTATCTAACTTTCTCCTTTTTTTTGCAAAATAATCCTTTGTTTTTTAACCTCTCACTGTATGTGAGTCCTGCTTTAACTGCAGCCACCATTATTGACCTTCTCTGGATCTTTTCAGTCTTGCCAGACTAAAATTTAACCCAGCACTGTGAAGGCATGCCTACCATTGTTTAATATAACATCATCATGCTTCCTGCATTATTTTCTATCATACTTGAAATGCATCCCAGCAGCTTATTTTTAGTTTTGCTACTACTTTATAAAAGACAGACCTCTTTAATAAGCTATCTATGCTGATTCCTAATTGCCCTCCCTGGTAGAATCCCTATTTAATGCTCACCAGTACTAAGTTTAGTTTATACATAATCTTGAATTTATGCAAGCTTGGTTTCAATGGCTGGCATGTTATTCAATTCACTGACTGTGTCTAATTTTATTTGCAGTATTTTAGCATAATTTCTGGGACTTCATAACCACAATATCTAAATGTTATCAGTAGAGTTTGCTAATTCTTTGTCCGCTTCCTTTTCCATGTCATTACGTAATGCTGACCTTTGAAGCATTTCACTTCTTATCCTCATTACTCTTTGGCAAAGTAATGCATGTCATGTGTTTTTCAAATACATTAGCTCAATCAAACTGGTCTAATGTGACTGAAAAACTCCAGTAACACGAAGGTTAATGAGTGTGAAACTGTGAGCGCTGACTACTGTAGCCTAATCTCCAAAAGGAAAAGCTAGCATGGCTTCAGACTTGCTAACCTGTGTTTTACTGGAATTTTTCAATCATGTTAAAATAATCTGATCAATCCAATCTGATTCCAAATCAAACATTATGCCCACCAAGAAAGGCAGAAAAAAATGTCTGTGTGCTCAGATTTTGTCTTTAATATATGAATGTGTTATTAGACATGTCTTCCTCTCATAGATGGGGAGTAGCTATCCTGGTGTTTTTAGTAAGGAGACAGAGCCTTCAGGTTTTCTTAATTTATTTTATTACATCTCCTGAACCCTCAAAGACTGTGCCTTCCCATTTTCTCCTGTTGAATTTAGAGGGTTGCAGTCTTTCCCTGTAGACCTTATCAACCCCATTTTTCATTATTATCTGGAATGGGTTATCAGACTGCAGACAAGAGGACGTTACTGTCTGCTGATAATATCTTTGCTGTTTTTCTAAACTTTTGCTGTCCTGGCTTTTCATGTAAGTGTTGTTAGTGGTGAAAAGGGGCGTTGGTTGTAGCCGTGTTGGTTTAAAGACATAGGTAGACAAGGTTCTTTGGGTCAATGTGATATCTTTTACTAGACAAACGAAATAGTTGGAAAAATGCTCTTTGGAAGCTTTTGGGCCCAAACACTCTTCTTCAGGCACAGGGAGAGTCTGCTGTTGTGTTGTGTTGAGTTCTCCTGGATAGAATAGAAGCCAATCCGCAAAATGCAGGTCTGTGAAAATACAAATGCCTGGCAGTGAGGATCAGAGACCATGGGAGACAATAGGTGTGAGACAGGTGGAGGAGGGGGGGAGAAGAGGAATGTTGACCTGGTGACAGAATGTAGCTAGTGAAATGTAGAGAGGTTACTGGATGGCAGGCAGGTTATAATGTGCCATAAAACCAAAGTCTATATTTAGTTCATGATTTTTTGTAGCCAGTAGATTTACAAAGTCAAGTTCCAAGGCTTATCTGTGAAAAGTGTTTTGTAAATTCCCTTTGAGGATTAAAACCGAGAGATTAGAAAGAGAGTGGTTGTCTTGTGAGAAATGTGCACTCACAGGTAATTGGGTAATTTTGTCTTTGATAGATTTTCATTGTGCATTCATTCTGGTACGCACTTGTACTTTGGTTTCTCCTACATATTTTCCATCAGGGCATTTAGTGTGCTGGATGAGATACATAACATTTCTGGAGGTGCAGGTGTTGCGAGGTGTAGTTATTGAGGGAGTGGTGGAGATACGTTGGCTGGTTTTACATTTCTTGTCCCAGCATGGTCTGTATCCATTTGGTGTGCTTTGGGCTATAGGAAGTTTGCTTCTGGTGATGAGGTTGGCGAGCTTCAGTACTCATTTAAAGGCTAGGATGGGTGGTTCTGTACAGATCTCTTTAAGAATTAGGTGTTCTTCTAGTATGGGCTGCAATTGTTTGAGGATTTTCTGTATAGGTTCCATGGAGGGATGGCATGTCATAACTAACGGTGTGCGATTTACGGGGATTTTCTTTTTGTACTGCAGCAATTCTTTACCTGGTATCTGGGTGGCTCTTACAAAAGTGCAGTATATCTTTTTGGAAGAGTGTCCTTGCTGGGTGAAAGCCCTTTTGAGATTTGTGAGGTGATGATCACAGGTGTTCTCCTCAGTGCAAATTCGGTGGCATCAGAGGGCTTGGCTGTATATTACAGCTTTCTTTGTGTGTTTAGGTTGATTGCTGGTTCTGTGTAGATATGCATGTTGGTCCATGGGTTTCATGTATGCGGTGGTCTGCATTTTACCATTCTGGATACTGATACGTCTAAAAATGAAATGCTGGTGGTCGAGTAGTCAAGAGATAGTCTGATGGAGGGGTGAAGATTATTGAATTTGTGGTGGAAAACTATCAGAGATTGCAAGTTTTCAGTCCAAATGATGACGTCTTAAGTATAGCAAGGGTTTGCTGCTGCAGTTCTTGAGGAATTCTTCTTCCAAGTGGCCCATAAAAGGGTTGGCATATTGTGGGACCATTTTGGTGCCCATAGCTGTACCTATGGTCTCGAGGAAGTGTTGGTTGGTTGTTGAAAGTGAAGTTGTCATGTGTGAGGATGGAGCGTATAAGTTCAGCGATATATTTAGGTCCGTACTCTGAGTTGTGATCTTGCTGTTGTAGATAGGTAAGACAGGTTTGGATGCCATCCTGGTGTGTAACATTGTTGTTGGGATTGCGCAATACCTCCCATTTCCTCTTGTACTTTCCTGCCACGACTTTGATCTTATGAGGGGAGGAAAGAGATTGGTATAATGTTAATCAGTACTCGCAGAATAACTTCCCCAGACACGTTTAGTCACTCCATGTATTTTTAATTCTCTTTTCTTTTACAGTGGCCTGAGTTGCAGGCAACAGCCTCCTCGACTTTCTGCCAGAGCCGCTCATCAGCTCTGGAGAGGATCCCTGCCGTCGAGAACCTCAAGGTAAGTCCCTGCCAGTGCTCCTTGGCGCTAATTAACTCATTAGCGAGAGTGGCTACAGTCTCTTTGACCTGTTGTCGGTGTAAAACCCTGGGCAACCCTTCTTCTCAATTACTCTTTCAGGTTTGCTGGGGCTGGTCAGTACCGCCTGTGCCCAGTCTCCTTCATTTTACTGAGACTTTCCCTGGTTTTCTCTTCTTCTTTTCTTGTGCTGCCGCTCCCTGCAGGTAATTAATCGGTTTGCGACTGCGCTCATTAAGCCCTGCTTCCCAGTTCCCTTCTCAGAGTTGGGAACATCCCTGTCTGTTGCTTGCAGCCATTCCTAGTCTCTCCCAAGCTGGGGTCTTCCTTATTATCATAGAATTTCCCCCCAGATCGTGGCAAGGAGCCTTGGCCCCTTTGGACTCACTGCTGCAGTCATGTCTTTGGGTGAGTGCCTGACCCACGCCGTCTTGCCATTCTTCTCATGCCTGAAGGCATTCTCTCTGGGTCCTCCCCGTGATTTTATCCTTGGGAACAAAGTCCATCAGCCAATCCTGAGTTAAGTAGAGAATTCCCCACCACCTGGCTGTGTGTCATCATTAACGGCCCTCAGGTGTTCATCCAAATAACAGAGCTCCCGACCGAGACCCTGTTACAAACATCTATGGTGGCTAGGAGGGTATTGCTGAGAAGATGGTCTATGTTTTCATAGAAAGTCTGTTGTGTCTTAGACAAAACTTGCTTTTTGGGTGACAAGAGGTTTTAGGATGGTAAAAAGTATTAGATTTTGTCACTGAGTTTTATCTTCTTATTAGGAGATTCCTTGTATGTGTATTTTAATTTTGTGGGTATGTGGTCTTTTGTTTCTCTACTGCTATTTTCCCTTTGTTGCTCAAGCTAATTTGTGTGATAGGGTGCTATTGGACCTGAGTCAACTCCCAATCTCATATCCACACTTCTCCCCACCCCCTGCTGATGTATATCTTGCCTTTTATGCCTTGATGGATTTATTGGAGACTGGAGAAAAACATACCCTGGGAAGACTTTCCTTAGAGTGATCTTCTGTCTGGTTCTAGGCTCTTTAACCCATTAATCCTTCACCAATCATGAAGTGTATTTTGTCCAGGACTTCTCCAACCCTACACCCTGGTCCATCACTCACCTCAATGACCTCATCAGTAATGGCTGTCCCATAGGGAGAATGCATCTGTCTATCTCCCTGTATGCCCTCGATGGGCTCTAATCAGGAACGGTTAATAGTCCCACTCAGTTTGTTGTACACATGAGAAAAAAACAATGTAAACTAAATGATAAAACAGCCCAGCATATGCCTACTCATTTTCTTCACGTGCCCTCTATTTATATGGGCCCTCTTCTCTCAGTGGGCCACCAGTAGTTTGACTTATTTCTTAGTCCATTTGGACTTCAAGATTGTCTCAATATGCACTTTGTCCTAGGGTGAATTGCATACTCCCCCCCCACAACACATAGGCTACTGTCCATGTAGAGGCCACCTTCTCCCCAGTCAGCTGCCCCTCCAGACAATCAGTCTGCAGATCACATAGGTTTCTTTTAACCTATAAAGTGCAGAGTCCTTCCCTTACAGGATACCCGGCATCTGGAGGCACCTTCTGGTTTGCTGCAGTAGGTCCACAGGCCACATATGCCGATTCAGTTACAGCCCATACTGTGTCCTTGTCCTCACCCCGTTACAAGGCAGGACTCTAATTACCCTTAGTGGGAATAATTCTCCCTCTTGGTGATGGGATTCTCGTTTGTTACTCACAGATCTTCTCTTTCTTTGCAGGTCAGCAGATGCATCGGACTTCTGTATTCAGTGGCAAGGGTGATGCAACTCTTTCCTGGCTGCTGCAGGTTCTCTGGCACTCTTACTGGTGGTTTACCAACACTAACATGCCAGGACCAGGTAAGCCTCCCTTGGTTAGTTTCCCCTTTCTAGGGGAAACTTATCCTCACACCTTGACAGGTTTTTCTACCTCTCAATGGCCCAGAACTCCAGGGGCCTTCTGGGCTTCCACTTGCCCCCTGCTGCACTGAGAAATGCCAGTTTCAAAGGGTCCGTGCCCATGGCAGTGGTGCCCTGCCATTGGACTTCCAGTACTGGCTCATCAGTGAGGGCAAGCGTATTCTCCTTAACATTTATATTTAGAACTCCATCTGTGAGGCTGGTCTTCAGTGAAAAGCACCATTCTAACATGAAGACAAGTTTTGTTAGGTTCTTGACTTCTTAACAGACTAATGCAAGACAAATCATTTTTAACTTTTTGTTTTTGTTTGCCTCAGGGTTGTGGTTATTATACATTTGTAAAACTGTATTCCTTCTCTGCATTGGGATTTTTGTTGATGAGTCCCCTTGTGATAAAAATGAAGGATCTGAAACACACTGCACTACCCAGGATTTGGCATATTCCCAACTAGATAGATAGCTTTTATTATTATAAACTGATTTTTATTGTCATTGTCTCAAGACCCTAGGCATGAGGTTCTTGAATGACTTCCTTGACAATTGAACTTGTAGCACCTGTCTTGAGAATGTAAGACATGAGAAAAGGGCAGGAACGTCTCAATCCAGGAACCATTTCTTCCATAATGTTTCTTCCAAATCCCTTGGTTGCCATCTGCAGACCTCATTTCCAAAGCCTTTCCTTTCTCTGACCAATGTGCGTGTGATTTGGGCCTTCATTTGTTGTTCGTTTCTTTTCAGTGTCTTTCCTCCTTTTATCTGCCCTTTATTTTGTTTCTTTTTGAAAATGACTAACTCCTCTGGGTATTGGGGGCAACATTTGGCTTAATTTTCCAGCAATATCAGTTTAATCTATACAGCCTATTTACTTGATTATACAAATATACACTGATGTTACTGGGACAGCGTGGGATATAACTGTGTCTGATCAGAAACTCTGTATTGTACAACAGATGAAAACAGGCCTGGACATGCTCAGAGACAACCTGTTTTACTGCATTCAGATGGTTGCCCTACCCAGGACAGGTGTTTGGCTCCTCACTGAAGAAGTAACGCTAGAATCCAATCTGGAGCTAGTGACTTTGTTTCAACAGCTGGACCACCCCCCAGGATGTTTTCTTGCTATGCAACAGCTCACAGGTAAGGTAAGAATGTTAAAAATTGGGGAAGTTTTTCAGTAAATATACGTGACAAGGTTGGATGTAAGAGCAAGTGCCTGCTCTGATTAAGAGGGTAGATGTAAAAGAAGTGCAGCAAGGTCCCTACTTAG